CTGCTGAAAGACTTAAAGGCTTCTAGCAGGAGACAAGAGCATCCCAGAGATGAAGAAGGCTGTTCCCTGAAGAAGGCTGAAGTGCAGTACTGCCCAGTAAGATGGAGAACAGAATTTGACTGTGCATCTGATAGTTTTGGGTGCAATTAATGAGCCATCTCTGCCCAACTACTTTTCTTTGATGGAAAGTAAATTTTAGATTATCTTCACACTGGTTTTGCACTCATCCTCCTGGGTGACCTCCTGGTAGAGGTATGATCAAGTTACGCAGCTGAAAACCCATCTTGGAGGAGAGGAAAAAAAGTAGGTAGCTGGAAAGATCTGACCTAATTTGCAGCAGACTATGCTTGTATCATTCTAGAGTGACTACAGAGGTAAAAGTTGTTTCAAAAAGTTAGATAACTCCATTTGCTACATACACATAGATTTTACTGCATGCAGAGTGTAAAAAGCTGTAAAACACTTTGAAAACCTGAGGGTGCTTGGCAAAGTCGTAGTAATACAAGAACTAAATCCAGCCACGTGGCATCTGTCACCTCTCAGGATCGTTCCCTGGGCCAGCTTAGCACCAGCACTGTGTATGTCCGGAAACGACAGCATGCCCTGCCAGAGGGCTGGGTGGGGGTGTCGCTTGGAGGCCACCGGCTATTCAGGCTGGCATTGCTCTCACACAGCTGAATGTTTCTGCAACAACTGCAGCATGATTTAATCTTTATTTTTATTTTTTTTTTCTTTTTACTTGTTTTAGAACAATGATCACCTTATTATCTAAACTGCATGATATTATACATGCCGATACAGATACTGGCTCTCAATCCTACCACTGTTTGCTTCTCCTGATACATCACAGTTTAGCCATTTCCAGCTAAATAATGCAACTCATTTCACTGGAAATGTATCAAACACTTATGGTGGCATCAAACTAAGTAATCAGGTCATCTGAACAGAACCATGCCCAATTTAACAAAAACTTGTCATCCACTTCTCCCCCGGCCTTCAAAGAAACAAAGAACTAGCATCAGACCTTCTTCAGCTCTCATAATCCTTCTAGGCTACCAAAGTGACATGCTGCTATAGCGTCTTATTGGAAATCTTTTTAGAGCAGAAATTGTTGTGTTCTTCATGACAAGGAGTAATACTGAAATTATACCATAACCGGAAAATAATATGAAAATCCAGTATTCCAGAAGTTAATTTAAACATACAATTTGTTTTAAAAAAACCAAACAAACCCTCTCCCCTTTGAGTAAAATTTACATTGATTTTCAAGCTTTTAGTATTTAACTCTTCACAATTCTAAAATAAGGATAAGGGCTAGTATTAAGCCATGTACAAACTCCTACTAACAAATGAAACACTTCCAGTATCAGCAATGCTAGTTCACCGTACTGAGAGGGTTCACACTTGAAATTGAAAGGGGAATTAGATATGAAAGCACTTCAGCAGCTCTTTACTGAAAATACTATCACAGATCTCAGTCAATAAAAATAAAACAGATTATTTTGACCAATCAGGCCAAGTCTTTCAATTATTTCACATTAACCCCCCTACCACTACGCTAGGCTACATTTATCCTAAAAGCAATCAAGAGCTAACAGTTCTGATCTTCGTTTATTATCTTTCCACTCATCCTATCCCCTAAATTAGGATGTTTTTAATATTGTTCAAGTTTAATTATTTATAAAACTAGAACCATCATCTTTTAAAGACTCTATTTGAGGCACAACAGAAATAATGGTATAGCCTAACACACTTTTATTGAAGGGTAATTACATCAAAACAATTTCAGTAATGTAATTAAACCTATCACACACAAAATTAAACTATTTGATAAGATAAATTAATAATGCTCACCAAACAAACCAAACCAAACCTGGTAGTCTTTAGCTTAGATATAAACCAGAAAGTAAAAGGTAACTAGCCCCCAATCCTCATTAACAGACAGATCAGCTGCAATAAATAACAGAAGCCTGTTACCACAGGATGCTGTACAAAAAGAACATTAGAAAGAAAAAAGACCCACAGTTGCCACTTCACAAATGAAGAACCAGTAGCAGGACTGAGGCCTAAAAGCAAGGTCAGCTCAATTTCTGTAACATAGTTTAGTAGAGAAACTACTGTTATAAAAATAGTAATACAATAAGCAGGCATTTTCAGATACTGAAAAGATGTGCAAGATGAATGCAGTCAATAGAGATGTCAGCAGCTTGAAAAAAGTTCAAATATTATTGTTTCATTACGCATAAATTTGCAGTGTCAAAATGTAGTTTTTGTCAATTTGCATTTTAAGAGGTCAAGGTGAACAGGAATAACCAGAAGACATAATGCGTATGCCACACAGAATTCAGTCTCAGCCTACAATACACGGAAGAGGAAGGTAAAGGGAGAGAAAGGGAAGCATTCTCTTACATACATTTTCCACACAAAAACTTTAAAAAATATATGCAATTAAATTAATTTCAAGTTAAGGTACCAAAAATTTTTGCCTTTTCAGATTCTCATTTATTAGACAATATACTATAGATGACCTACTGCTTGCAGAAACAGTAGTCATGTGGACAGCTTTGAGAACAACAGGAATGTAATCATTTTGTAAATCTGTTTAGATGGGTTTTCCAGGAAAGGAAGGTTGCATGACAAAAATAGTGAAATAAAATGAAAATAAACTGATAAGACCAGTATCACTAGTGGAATGCAATGTGGTAAACAGATAGTAGTAACAGAAAGAAAGGGTGCTACAGAGGGGGATACAGCTTTACAGAGCCTGATGCCAAAACTATGAACTCGATACAGCAAAACAGGGAGCCATTGCAGGTGGTGAGTAAAACTGACGAAGATGATGAACTTGGAAGCTGAGTTCTGAATGAACCAAAGGCAGTGATGTTGTTTAGAAGAGTCCTGAAGAACAAAAAGGAAACTACTGTGCTACTACTCAACACACCTGACAAGTTCAAAAGTTTATTTTTTAACCTGCATTACAGTGTTAGGCATTTGTTCAAATATATTTGCAAAGTGAATTTTACTCTTTCTAGTTAAATACAAAGACACAACAAAAAAAGATCAGTAACATACCAGTTCCATTAACTGTTTTAGCTGACCTATCTCTTCTGGAAGGGAACCTAGCTTATTGTTACTTGCAATTAAGACTTTTAGAGGAAGACCACACAGGCAAGCTGGCAAAGAGGAAAGTTGATTTCGACTGCAACAAAACAAACAAACAAACAAAAACAAACCATTAAAAACACCAGTGATGTTCTACTGTATACTCACATAAAGTCTGATAGTTGTAAAATTCCGTCATTTTAATGGATCAGATTTTACGCAAATAAAATTTAAATTTTCCAATGGCAATCATTAAGAAAACACTTGCACACAAAAAATATCTGCATTACTGACTAAACAGTAATGTATAACATTACCACTCTGGAAAAAATGCATTATAGCAGTTTAATAATATTGTAACAAGTCCAGTTGTCACCTAGAACAGCTGTTTCCCTTCCTAATGAATACAAGAAAGTCAACTGAGCCAATATTTTGCAAGTACTTAAATATTCCTATGGTTTTATCTGGCAGTATAGTGGATATCTTTTGGCCCAGTTGAAAGACAAATAAATAAATTACAGACAAAATGGTTATTTTCTCAATTACTTTAAAGCACACTTATAGCTGAAGATTACTTGGTACTTATTGTTCTATGATTCTATGATATTAATCCAGGGAAAAACAGCAAAAAATTCTGTGACCATCAACGGTTCATTACTTTCCAAGACTCATATTGAGCCATTTTATCTCTGCATCTTACTTTTTCCTAAAATTTATAAAAATTTTTATGTGATTGACATGTGCCATTTTATTCTTCAAGCCATATTTCTAAAAAAAAAAAAAAAAAGGAAGCAGAAGATTTTCATGAAGAGGAGTTGTTGCAAGGTAAGGAAAAATTGGTAGAAAACTTTCAAAAATATTTACATTCTTGTTCTAGTAACAATTACTCAAGAAGCTAGAACTTAAAGATGACAAATGCCATAAATGCCATGACCCTTTGTGATCTTCAGATAATTACAAATATTAATTTCTTGTGATTTGCAGATTAATTCCGAGAAGAAACTTTAAGCTCAACAAAACAACAAATTAACTACTGTCTTTCCTAGAATATTTGAGGGTTTTTTTTAAAATATCTTTTTTTTTTTTTAATGGATATTACCCTGTAGGAAAACAATGAACAGTAACTTAAAGTGGCATCCCAGGAAGAACCATTTTAGTTAGCTTCTGCATAACTGTTAAGGCTCCAGAAAACAAATACGCATGACTGAACTCTGAAAACAGATGGCAGAAATTGTCCTGTGTAATTTCAGAAAGAGTTGCAACATTGAATTGAAACAAAAGGAAACAAAATTCCAAAAGTCTCAAAACATTTCTTCTTCAGCTGCCAATCCAGTGGTCTGCTTCAAAACTGCATATAATGACATATATTTATGTTCCACACAACAGTCTCAAAATGTTTTACAAAGCAAACTACCACCATATCTCCGTTACACAGGCTTGGAGACAAACAGGTATCAAATAACAAACCCAAGGATACCAAAAATGTGAAATCCAGCTACTAACCAGCAGTAGTTGAAAAAAAAGAATCAATGCTTATTGTGGAGTCAAGATTCTCAATTCTAGTGTCTTTACAGAGGACCAAGACATAAATTATTCTAAAAAATAAGTAGAAATTTTTTTTAAGTTCTAAAGAACTCAAATTGAGGAAGCCTAGAATCTAAACAAGTTACACTATGTAGCAGATCAGACACACAAAAAAAAAGTTCTATAGAACTTGGAAGCAACCCACTAAGAGATAAGGAATAGCACATAACCAGGGCAAGTAAGTAATAAATCATCATTAGTAATTTCTTTAAATAAGACATGAAAGTATCCGCCAAGGCCCAAAGGCTATGTATATCTCTTGGCATCACTTTCTATTTAGCATATGGGCTCTGCTGGTCACAGGAAGAAAAATACTAATTTTAAATCTATAATATTTTTCTTGCCAAGAAGCAACATGGTTAGCAAGTCAAGGATATCTTTCCTCCTACAGACTGCTTACTGTGTTCAGCTAACATGGAGAAAGGGCACATCTAGGTGAAAAGGAGATTTTAAACCAAGGGAAATGACCTTATTTAGTAAAACTTGAAAAATTTCCTTTCATTTCGATTGTCTAATTCATGTGATATATGGTTTTAACTCTCTAACTATTCTGGATTTATCACGATTCACACAAGTTCCATCACTACACTGAGTTCTAATTCACTAGTTCACTAGATTGAATTCTAATTGAGTTAATTCCAATTCTCAAATTTACTAAGATGTGTTATGTAAACTTAATTATTTCGTCCAGTCTTAATTTCTTTATGTATCTGCAACAAACAGGATTTCAAAATTTCAAGTCCTATTCCTTACATGTGTGCAGCTACCCAGGACACACTATTCTGTTTGAATTTCTAGAGCCAAAATTAGTGTTCCAAAGTGGCCAAAACTGTAGTACAGTAACAACACAGGAAGGCTTGAGAAATATTCTCAGTGTTTACAAAACTGACGATCAAGCCTTCATATCCTGAATTTAAAAGCCAAGAGACACTTTGCTCCCTGCCCAAACTTCATTCTCACAAAAAAGAGATTACTGTATCTTCCCTATTACAGTTTTTACATACTCAACTGCAAATAAACCTCCACACCTTATCCCAACTGAAAAAACTGCTGACATTACCTCTCTCAAAAACAAATATGCATTCACCTGCATTTCAGCCAGTAGCAATTCTCTATACTGATTAGTATTCATGCACATTTTTCACAGAAAAGAGACACAGGTGCCAAATTAATTGCCCCTTCCTCCTAAAAAAGGCAGTTACTATAGTTCTTGCATAATACGGGGATACTAATGATAAAGTATCATGCTTTTCCTCTCCATTCCCCATGAAAAAAAACACGTTACTCCTTTGTTTCTGTCCCTCCAGCTTTTTAACTACAAAAAGTATGTAGTTTCACAAAATTTATCACTAAAAGATTCCAGCTGTGCTGATATAATTAGTATTCTGAATTTGCTAGAAGAATAAGGGAAAGAAAGGAATTAATACTACTTGGTTGTTCTTTAGAAAATTAATTTTATATTTTGGCATTTACAATGCCTTCAACACAGAGCTGTATCTACAGCCAATGAGTTTTTGCATTACAGCTTTCAATAAAATGAAAAATGTAGTCAGTTGTTCCAGAAACACATAAAGTGCAGACAGAAAAGCTTTACACACTTACAAATAAACAAAAAATGTGGCAAAGTTAAACTTACCTCAAATTTAAGTAAGTTAGCATTTGCAAGTTTACTATGGCATCTGGTATAATTTTAATACAATTGTGGTATAGATTTAGTGTTTCCAGTGACACAAAATGGCACAACTCCGTAGGAACCTCAGTTAATCTATTCTTGGATAAATCTGAGAAGAGAAAAAGAAAAACTTTTTTGAACTGTCAGAAATATATACTTCGAACAGCTACGCTTCCTTATTAAACAAAGTTTTAAATGTAATCCTACTATGAGACAGCAAATTAAGCCAATGTTTTTTATTATGCAGAATAAAACTAGTGCTAACATTCACAATGTTGAAATGGAACAGACTGCGTATAAAAGAGCAAACATTCAATTAAAATTTATTTGGTCTAATAAAAAGTAATTATTTGCAGGACTCAATATGCTGAGGAAATACTTGCAAACAGAATCAAGTATAGATTCCAAAGCTCATATAATATACTCAAAGATCTAGCCAATACACAGCTAGACATCTGCAAATAATGACTGTGTTTAGAGAAAACAAACGAGGGTTATATATTTAATTTATTTAAATAACAATTAAAAAAAAAAAAGTTCTTCAGGTAACTCTTCAAACCGACCTGTATTTCACAGAATCACTGAATGGTTTGGGTTGGAAAGGACCTTAAAGATCATCAAGTTCCAACTCCCCTGCCATGGGCAGGGACACCCTCCACTAGACCAGGTTGCTCAAAGCCTCATCCAGCCTGGCCTTGAACACCTCCAGGGATGGGGCATCCACAGCTTCCCTGGGCAACCTGTGCCAGTGTCTCACCACCCTCACAGTAAAGAATGTCTTTCTAATATCTAGCCTAAATCTGCCCTCTTCCGGTTTAAATCCATTATCCCTTGTCCTGTCATTACATGCCCTTGCAAAAAGTCTCTCCCCACCTTTCCTGGAGCCCCCTTCAGGTACTGGAAGGCTGCTCTAAGGTCTCCCTGGAGCCTTCTCTTCTCCAGGCTGAACAACCCCAGCTTTCTCAGCCTGTCCTCATATGGGAGGTGTTCCAGCCCTTTGATCATCTCTGTGGCCCTCCTGTGGACTTTCTCCAACAGGTCCATGTCCTTCTTATGTCAGGGGCTGCAAAGCCCCCTAAATTCCAGTCAGTGATAAAAGCATGTTACTTACAAAAATGGTGAAGACCCTCAGGAATGGATTTGATACATGGTATAAGTACACAGAAGACAACAATGATGGATTCCAATCCCCCAGGTGAGTGCTTGTACCAACAGATCGAAAGCTTTTGATTTTTGACCAGTTATTCATTTTTTATTTCTCATTTTAAGCACACAGACACAAAGGAAAATCAGTAGGAAGAAGTGTTACTGAGCTTTGTTCCTTAACTACCACAGTATGAAAAATGAGGTATCATAATACTGATGTGAGCTTAAGTCATAAAATAATAATGCATGCCAGCGTTCACCTGAATTAATCGGGTTCAAAAAAATGTTCAAACAGTATTGCAGAACAAACGTCTTTTATATCAGAAACTGCACAAATGCAATCTACCCTTACCACCAGATGGGTAACCTGACCTGAAGAATGGTCATCTGTTTTAAGTGGAAGGAACAGGAATGTACCTAGGCAAAAGAGTGAAATGTCTGATGGGAAGGATACAAGATAAAAAAAGTGAACTTAACCATCTCCTCTCTTCTTTGCTGCTGCCGTTTTAGGCCTCCTCTCTGACCCTTCAAAGCTTATTTTGAAGCTTAGTTTCTTACACTACATAAAGCGAAAAGTAGCCAAAGCATAGCAGATACATTTCTACAGTACTGATGATCCAACTCTCTTTAGGACCATAAAGCAATTTTTTGCTTTTGTGAACAAACAGGTAGAAGCCTGAAGATGTTTTTAACTTCCTTTGCAGTTCCAGACTCATCAGTTTGCTGTGCAGAGGCACAGCTTAAGTTCAAAACTTGTCAGTATGAAGGTTTTATCATTTTTATTTTTGTTCCTGTCTCCTGTAACGCGAGCTGAATTTTTTCCCTTTTCAGGTTCCACTTTGCTTCACTTCATTGCTTCTGACAAAGTTCATTTCATTATTCCATCCTCTGCCAAGACAACAGCAATGGCCTATGAGTGCAGTAACTGAGAGCACCCCTGCTGACCCAAATGGCAGTATGGTTGAATTGAGCACCTAAACCAAATTTATTCATTTCTAAGCTACTGTAAAACAGTAATGCGTGAACTGCTCTGCTTTCTGTTACCAGGTTTTGATGGGAGCATTACCTCAGCTTCTCCTTTCCTTCACTTCTGCCATCAAACTAACGTATTCCCTATTTGAGTGAACACTATTACTGTTACAAATGGGAAGAAAGCTCTTCCATATTGCTCTGTTTTAGTGCTTTAATCCTTTACTGTTTTCTATTTGTCATGCGAGTACTTGTTTACTAACACGGCATTCCAAAAAAATGACCACTGGTTCCTTCTCTTGCTGCCTTCCTAGCTATGTCTGTTATCAGATATTAACAGAGGACTGCCAGGCTACTACTTTTTGAATCATGCAGGGGATCTTCATATCTTACAACTCCATTTCAAACAAAACCTTCAATTTTTTTAAACCGTGTTTTTCTGCAGTGACATGCCATGTATACACTGCTCTTGCTTCCTCCTTTAAAGGGGAGGGAGCAGCAAGATCCGGAAGAGTGAACTGACCTTTAGGCCTAGGCTGAAGATAACCTGCATGGCACGGGATGGTACACAGAGAGTTTTCACCCTTCATCTGATCCTTCAAATGATACACAGATGAAAAACTGAACACAGTAATGTTACTTCTCAAGCTACTAAAACTGCAGCCCACCACTTAAACTCCATCTTCATGCCTGTTCTCATTTACCTTCATGCTGAATAACAGGGACTTGCCACAGCATTTGACTTACGCTTAAAAAATTCTAGTACCTCAAAAAAGTGGAACAGCAACTACATTGACCCTGTTCCTACAACAGACATTACCACGACAGTAAAATACTTTTTAAATTCATTTCTATTTTATTAATATCCTTTGTTCTCAAGGGATTTAACTCTGTTAATCTGAAGGAGAAAACAAAAAACCTGCAGATAACAGACAAATTCCTTCCTGTCATCCTCAGGGCTACAGGACACACTATGTACACAACAAAGGAATTCAAGCATTAACTTACCACAAAGGAAGTCAATTATTTGTTATTTTCTAGTTATCACAGTTTAAGATAATTTCAACACTTGAATCTATTGTTGCTTCCTAAATAATAAAAACCCAATTCTATTCACAGCAAGGCAGAGGAATAAAAACTATAGATTTCATTTAACACCACTGTAACATAACAATAAAAAAAGCAGAAGTTTGCTACTACAATTTACTGGTAAGAGGTATCATTAATACCAAATCTGAATGTCTTTGAAAAACAGCATACTGGAATGGAATCTGACATACAGAACCCTCATCGCATTTTTTTAACTAGTGGCAATAATTTTTGCCAAAAACCAGACTTCCCTGATCAAAAGGAAGCAAAAGAAAAATAGATGTTGTTTTTGTTCAATCCCAGAATGAATGTGAGCCTCTGAACGAGGCAGCTGCGAAGAAAGCCTTAGCAGGCTTTCAGATGTCTCTGAAAATTCCACACAGAAAAGTGCATGTCTTCAGAGGTGAAAAGGAAACTAGCCTGTATAATAATTTTATACTGTACCTTAAAAGCATATGTAAACATTTACAAAAAGCTCTGAAATTTCCATAATTATTTAGATATTACTTTATACAAAGGTACTTTTGCCTCAAATTACAGCATCTGACAATTAGTCTGTAGGTATTTCAGGTTTACTCTGATATTTAAGTTCTAGAATAAAATACTGGGGCTGAGCCTTAAGAAAACTGTAGAACCTTTTGAACATACTGAGAAAAACAGTATGCATGTATCTTGTTTCTGTCACCATTCATTAGCTTTCTGAAATATATTTTGCAAAGGCTTTCTTGGGTTCATTATTTAGGGAAAAAGAAGAATGCAGAAACTAAAATTTTAAACAAATTCTGAAAATATTTTTGAAATACAGAAATAATTAGCTGGCAAACCCTTACTTTCTTACTGTATTTTTTTAACTCTGCAGTTCCCAAATCACTAAGCTACACATCTCCCTTGTTTAATTTGAAGAATAATGCTTCACCTTAATTAAAAATAATGAAGTTACTGTACAGATGAGACTTTGCTACAGAAATGGAAAAGGAGAGAGGGATGGAATTTGCTAGTGTTTGAAGGAATTTTGACTAATTTGCTTATATTATCTAACACAAAGGAGATCTAACAAATTAATCAATCTACGAGGGCAGAAGTACATTTCATGGTTGCCAAGACAGTATAGGTAGGTTACAGCTGAGGTGACTATTTCCTTTAACTTCCACTATGAAATAGGTGGCACAAAAATAAACAAGGGGGTAGCGGGGAGATGCCATGTGCTGGAGTGAGGTTTTTTTGTTGTAAATTAAATACACTATTCATTCATTATTTGTGACATCAATATGTTTTCAAACTACATCTGGCTTCACTTCATCTTCTCCTGCCAAGAGCAAGCTGGTTAAAACTCCAAAATAAAGTAACAGAACCAAAAAAAAAAAAAAGAAAAAAAAAAAAAAGGCAAGCCAATTTAGAAAAACATTAGATGGAATCTTCATCTTTAAAAGAGTCAGCACAATTCTGGCACAATTACATGGCTTTTGTATGAGAAATGTTACTATGTTGGAAGCTAGACAGGAACTACACAAAATAAGCACTTCCTTAGCTGGGAGCGAACAATAAAAAAGCAAAGCGTTCACACCAGCAAATAAGCATTAACAGAAGACTCCAAGAGCTGTTCGGTGACTAGCACACTGCGTGGTCAGGGTCCATGCTGCCATCACACCAGGGATAACCGATCCTGGGGCAAAACATTTAAATCCCTGGTAGCTCTGAATATGACTACCACCACGAAGTACCACCGCGGATGAGGACCTTTCTGACTTCGTGCTTTACAGGCAGATTACAAACTGCCACTATATCTGACATAAAACACTGCCACCACAGAAACCAAAATGGCATTGTCAAAATAACCATAAAAAATACTGGAAGTCACATAGTTACATTTCTTTCAGTAAGGTTACCAAGTGCTCCAATTTTCCTGCCTTACAGTTAGCAATACATTATTAAATATTAGTTATTAATACATTATTAAATAAAAATTCCAGACTATTCACAGGAGAGCTGAACAGTTTAAGCCTTTAAGTCAGAACAGCAATTCATTAAATAAATATGCATTTGCATTACATCACAAATCTTAGCCAAGAATTTTAACGAAGCAGTATTATCAAAAAGCAGTGGTGTTGAATTTTCAGATCCTAGAAATATTCACTATAAATTCATACTTCTAACATGCCAACCTACAATAGACAAAATTTGGAATTACGCAAGTAAGCATCTATTCACCCTTGAGCTGGAAATTTTTGAGCGATAGAGAAAGATCTGAAACAGAAAACACATCAGTATTTGATATGGAGTTTTGAAATCAAGAAATCGCAAGGTAAAAAAGTCACCCAAACAACCTTAACTCCAGCCTACCAAGTTTCTATTTTTGTACTCTTCAGCACTTACTGAATAAAAGACAGGAATTATTTTGAAGAATGTACTTGCATTTGTACTAAGATACCATTCAAGGTGTTCAAATTATATATCTGAATTTGATTTGATAAAATTAAAGCAAGTCACTGCAAGAGCTTAAAAAAAATGTAAATTCACCTCTAATTTAATGAGAAAATCATGCAAATAAGAATGCTGGGAAATACATAAAGAAGTCTGTATATGACATGACACAACTCTTCTACCTTTTATACTGTGTCACCAATATTTTTATTAGGCTTTAAGGAAGCCTGTATTTCCTATTAGGTACCTATATCTACACTGATAACTGAAGCCACAAACTGATGGCACTGTATCCCATCCATACTTGTCTTGGCAAAGAAGGCAAGTGATCTATTATCACTGTAATTGTACCTATGAGAATCAAATAATTAATGCCCCCTAACGAAGCAATGACTTCTTGTAGCCTTTACTCAATTTTCCCCCTAAATGGTAGGAAAAGGCATCATCCCACAGACAAATGCTATATATTAGCCATGAAAACACTGTAATGCAACTATAAAAAGCTATATACTGCCCTACAACCTGTCATTATCTGGCATAGCAGATGTCTCAACTACTTGCCCTCTCTATCTGCCAGTATCAATGAATAATATCCTGGATGTACAGCCAGCTTTCACTGTAGTCAGCAACTCCTACTGACAGTGATGCTACATGAACAAAAAAGAGGCAGCAAAGACCTCCACTGACCCTGGCATCAAATGCATTCCGGTTGCTTCATGACAATTATGCCACAAAGAATTCTTCACTATGAGACATTTGTATTTAAGCTATTTAGCAGACAGAAGAACAAGTAACAGAAGACAAATAAAGCCCAATAAAGTAAAAACAATTCTGCTTCTACGTAAGGAAAAAATATAACATAGTAGTGCATGGACTCAAGTTTTTTCATTCCAAAACTGCAACTTGTAGCAGACTGAGAAATTAGCTCCAATGCTGATTCCCAAGAAAGTCATCATTACCAATGCAACGTAACATTTAGACACTGATAAACACCACTGACTCTAGATGTACGACTGCTGACAAAACATGTAGAAAGTGCATCTATCCCAGGCAGCTGAACATAAAAACGTACAGACATTGCAAGAAAAATATTTTGAACATATTGTGAAGCAACTCTGCTGTTTCACACACTTGCTAAGCACTAGTTTTTGGAGCACTTTCAGCATATTTTCCTTTTCCATCTGTCCACCATTGTTAATTTAAGAATTAACATTAAAACCTCCACTTCAAAGACACAAATTAAGATTACGCTACAAGTGTAGAAAATTTCAAAGTGATCACACGTGTACTTTTGTATCCACTTTTCTTACCATTACTATGATTTAACATATTAAAAGTTTCTCCTTTACCACTGTGTACGAGAGTTCTCTGACTCTTCCCTATTCCAAATCTTGACATAGCACTATAATATGTGGGCAAGTTAAAGAGCTAACGCTAGTGATACACAACATGACACTGTCTTCTCTGTGTCACTGATGGTCAGAAAGAACCCAATTTACTACTTGTCAAAGTAACAGCTGTAATAGTAATCATACATATTCACCACAGTTATCATAAGGGACTTAAATGGAGGTTTTAGAGGGAGGAAAAAAAAAAAAAAAAAAAACAACAAAACAGGACTGAGGGCAAACCAACATGCTGGTAACAACATCGCGTGGAGTCTGGCAGAGGTGTGACCACTAGAGGGGGTCCTGATCTCACAGACTCGGCCAACACCCCGTAACGGTGTTTCTCAAATATTTCCTTCTTTTTGAGACCATCCACAGCACATAAAAAGGACAGAAATAGGAAGGCACACTTGACAACTCCCTCCCCTAGACACTCCTACAAACCTACTGCCCACCACAGTTTTCAAAATACGACAAATGAAGCTACTCACTTGCAACCATTATTGCAGGAAACAAATACATAAACTGATATTTGCTGAGGTCAAGCCCTTACAAAAAAAAGTCTCTATTCTGAAACAGCCACACTGAAGTGGTTTTCCCCAACCTTCCTTCAGATGATGCAAGAATGTGAGGTATCTTTGAGGTCTCTGCAGTTACAGCAATACAACAATTGTCCTATTTCAGCCAAAAATAACAAGAAAAGTTGGACCATATATTTGACAAAGACCCTGCTTACAAACACATTCCACCCCAACGACCCTCATCTACCACTCCACCTCATCTGCCACTCCATTATAGCATACATAGCTTGCTTTTCCACAGTGCCCTGTAACCTCCCAATAAAGCACAGCCAAGGCAAGTGTCAGAAACGTGCATCCTCCATTTCTTCTCAGGTAGTACACTAACTAGTCTGAAGCACTCGAAAGGTATAAGTTACCTCTCCCAGACACCAAAACTTTGAGCAAACATCACTTCAGGGTCTTCTGCTTCCTCTGTGTGAAACAAGGGTGGGGAAAGAAGGGAGCAAAAGTGTAGCATATTCTCATTATTAGCTCAACGGTACACTTCAATTCCAAGGAGACAAAGGAAATTTCTCTGCAAGAAACATGCTCAAAACAGTATCACGAGCCTGGAAGAATAAGGAGAAGGTTAATATAGCTATCTGCCTCGTTACTGCGTCTGCCCTTAGCTGGCAAAGTAAAACATTTAAAGTTTTCCTTTATCTTCCACTTCTTCCTCTTCCTGCACGAGCTCCTCTCCAGGGGCTGCAGGTCCTGCCAGGAGCCTACTCCAACATGAGCCCTCCACAGGCTGCAGCTTCCTTCAGAGCACATCCTTTTGCTACAGTATGGGGTCCTCCACAGGTTGCAGGGCAGATATCTGCTTCACTGGGGACCTCCATGAGCTGCAGGAGGACAGCCTGCATACCATGGTCTTCACCCCAGGCTGCAGTGGAATCTCTGCTCTGGCACCTGAAGCACCTCCTCCCCCTCCTTCTTCACTGACTCTGCTATCTGCAGGGCTTTTTCTCTCATTTTTCCCCACTCCTTTCTCACACAGCTGCCATGCAGCATTTTTTACCTTTTCTTAAATATGTTATCACAGAGGCGTGACCAGCATCGCCGATGGGCTCAGCTTTGGCCAGCGGCAGGTCCATCTTGGAACTGGCTGGAACTGGCTCGAACTGGCTCTGACACAGAGGCATCTTCTGGTGTCTTCTCACATAAAGTCACTCCCCTTCAGCCCCTCCAGTACCAAAATCTTGTCACATAAACCCAATACAGGCACCTAAACACCTGTATCACAAGACGGAAAAAATATCATCCATCAACAGAATGGCCTTTAATAACATGTGGTATGAAACCCAGTTCATGGGCCATGAAGCATTCCTCCCTCTCCCACGCCTTCCACGCAAGAGGGAGGATACAAGTCATTAATTTTCACACTCCTTAATAAACGACTAACCCTCAGAAGGATCAATGGGTTGTATCATTCCAGTATTGTACTAGTCAGCCTCAGCAGGACTTAAATATTTCAGGTGTTTTGTCAGACGCAGTAGCAGTAACAAGAAATGTTTGCCCAACCCAAAAAATTTAAAAACCGCTTTCACCATTTTCAGTCTTTATAGTAGGTTGATGGAGGAAAAGGAACTGAAGTGTTCACATCATATACTATCCAGCTGAACACCTTTAGGGTACCAAACCACATTTCAGTCATCTGCCTGAACTGTTCATACTGAAACATACATGTTTTCATACATGAAACAAAATTTGATGTTAACACCCACCCATACAAAATCAGGACCTTTGCTGGCTCCTCTGTGGAAACAAAAACTAAAAGTATACCTTCATACTATATGTCTGTATTATTAACTTCAGCCATCACAGATACATTTTAATTATTAGCATGGAATGCTGCAAGATCAGGCAAACTGTGGGCTATAACAGCACTTCCAGCCATATTAGAGACTTCTCCCAGGACTAAGATTTGGATTATGAAATCCTTTTCTGAAGGAAGAATAGTGACCAGAGCTTTCACCAAATTCAAAACAAAAGTTCAAAAAGGTGTAAATTGTGTATGTGTGTACATAAATATACACACACAATGTCATTTCAGTCAAGCAACTTACTCCCAGCTATTGGAGAAGAGGGAAAGATGTGAAACAAAAACATGAATTACATTCTATCCCAAAGATGGTCATGGATCCCTGCAGATGTACCCTCGTGTCTTCCATTACAAATCTCTTGTTTCAGGCACAGATATCTCCTTTCTTAAAGCTGTCTACTTTGGAAACCAACACCTTCCAGTTCCATGGGGGAATTCCACATGACACATTAAAAAACACCAGGATGTAAGCTAGTGGTCAACAACCTTTTCCAGCCCACAGACAACACTGCTAGAGGAACAAGCTGAATGCAAGGTCATAGTTAGTTTTTCACTTCCTTCTGTATTTTACTGGTTGTTATTATTATTATTATTATTTTTCCTCTGGCTCTGAAGAGAGAACACTATTTATGCTATGCATTATCACCTCAGTGACCTGCTTGAATTGGAGTTACCTCACCTTTACCATCTGGTAGAAGGAGCAAATAAAACATCTTCTGCAAAGTAGCTCAATTGCCTGCACTCTGAAGATGATTATTTTTCACACGTGACATACTAAAATACTAGATTTGTTTATTTTTAACTCATTGTTATACATTAACTGTCTCACATTCTGTAAGAAAATTTGCTATGAACAGGAAAATGAACAAAAGATATTTGATCTTTGGGCATATCAAAGGCATGTGGGTAAAGATGTGAAAAAACTACCCGATGCTTATTTACAGTGACAGGGAAAGCAGGGTATTACTCATCTAATCACTTCCCTTTCTGTCTGCCCATGTCCCACAGATGTCAAGGTTAATCTACCCTACCCACATTATTCATGTACTTCTCTTGCAATGGTTCTTGAAGCCAGCACAACATAATTGTAAGTTTATCAATACAAACCTGTTTTGTACCATAAAAGCTGACTTACACTATCGAGAACATCTTTAAACAATGAACTAATTATATGGCTATTACACAGGAGGTACAACATTTGAAAGAAATGGCCAAAAAATACTTCAGAGTTCTAAACAAAACAGGAATCCATGAAAACATTACCAGAGACTGAGGCACCAAGAAAGAAAAGCCTGGACGAAACAAATACATTAAATTGTAATAAATAACCAAGAATTGGATGGCTACGCATAGGGAAAAAAAATGAAAAAAAAAAAAAAGGAAATAACAGAAACACTTTCTTGAACTGAAAGGAACCTTGCCCTCTTCTGGGAAACCAAAACAGCTATCTCATCCAGTATGCCGCTTGTTGGTCAGGGGAGGGACTGGGTTTGACGGATAACATGTGCCACTTTTTTTTTTTTTTTTACTTGTTTTAACAAGTCATAATTTACATCAGGATTTAAATCTAACATCTTTATAAGATGAGAGACATCAGATATATAGACTGCAAAAAGACTGTGGTGGGAGACTAAAACAAACACACACACACCCTCTACTTATAAACAATCCAGTGCCTGTGACTGGGCAGGCAGAAACCACTTTACGCTTGCCACAATACTTGCTGGGGACACAGGTGGGAATAAACCAGCAGGCACTGATGGCACTTGTGGGTCAGTCTCCAACCGTAACTAAACATCAGTGCTGTTAGTATGTAACAACCGTATGGCAATATGCATTTTGAAGGGACAAAAGAACGTTTCCTTCTGGTTTATTTCCTTCATATTGGTTATGGGGTGGGGTTTTTTTGAGGGGGGGGGGCAGTGGAGGGAGGATCACTTCACAATATTCTGAAATGCACAAAATGATTAATGCTCATCTATATAGTCTACTGAATCTGGCCTACAATTCCTGTTTCTGGTGTAGATTCATTTCTACTTGTTTATTTTCTTTTCAAAGTACATTTCAGAAGGTCTAATTTCCATCTTGCATACTAAGTATTACGGCGATATTTTTCTATAAGAATCATTTTGGACTGAGTTATGTTTCTGAAGGAACTCTGTTCTGCTTTCATGTGTATCTTACCTTGCACCTTCCTCTATGCTTGATAGCTAACACATTCTCAATGTGGTAGCAATGGGTTAGCACAGACACAGAACAGGTTGCATATAAAGCAGGAAAGGGAGAGGAAAGTGTTAATTCACTATGCCCTCCCCATCAATAATTAAAACAAAATTTAAAGAACTGAGGTCTCATCCTGAAGTGGCTATAACGACTAGTTTATGCAGGCCCAAATAAGACACCTACAGGCAGATAATAGGGAGACCTGTGAAAGGCTGATGGACAGCATTATTTCCCTTTAGTTATCACAGCCTGATGGGTAGAAGGCAAGTGTAACCCAGATCTATTAAGTCTTAGATTTAAGTCCAGTAACTGCCGTACACACTACTGTTACATTAAAAAAAAAATTTACTCAATCTTTTTCTGATAAAACTCAACAATGTTTTAATGAACAAATTGGGGTTAAATTACCCTAGTCAGAAGAAAAAGTCTTTTCTGCACGAGCTGTGAACCTGCTCACATCAGTGACACATGACAGTTTGATATACATACTGCTGCAATCCAGGTCAGGTTTTGTGAAAAGAAGAATCAAGCTAAAAGCTTACGGACTAGAACTTGGGAGATCTGGGGATACACTTTCAACTGTGTCAGTAGAAAGTGCAAAAGATTTTATAAAGTACTTAACTTCTTGGCTTGGTTTGTTTACTCAGCTTTCTTATGAGAGGAACTGCTCATTTTCAACAGTTTTCCAATAGTGGAGCTGCTAAATCTGGCTGTTCAGGATGCTGAACCTGCTATCCTTATACTGCCCCTGCTATTACTCGGTAGCTAAACTTCCCCAGATACCGTGAATTCCAAGTCAGCAATTTTGACTTAATTCAATCTTGAAGTCATTAATGCACTGCAAAACTCACTGATTCAGTAACTGATACTTTTAACTGTACCCTTTAAACATTCTGACTCAACCGATATTTTAACTGTACCCTCAACAAGTTCATTAATATACAGGCAGTTAAAGTGACCCACTAGTCATTTAGCCAAATTTGTCACCTTTCAGACAATATTAAAATTACTTGTAACAGGACGTTGAGTCTTACCAAATGCATTCTCATGACTCGGTATTTGAGCATCAAGTACATGAGTCATGCCCAGTAAGAAGAGCTTATACCTAATGAGAACTGTGGTTTTAATTGAAAAACTGCACGGCATTCTGCTCAGAATACAATTTCTTTTCTGCATAAGAAAAGCAACAGTCGTGCATTCTTACCTATCTCACTCCCAATTCAGCCTCTTTTTACAAAAAAAAAAAAAAAAAAAAAAAAAAAAAAAAAAAAAAAAAAGCTCAAGAGCTCACAAGAACCTCCAAAATTTTAATTTGGACTTCTTACAAAACTACCTACTCTTTGTGAACAATAACAGGTACTTCTCATTTCTCATCCCTTCTCTCTCTCGCCCTGCCTCTCCAGAAATTTGGATAGGAAATTCATTCTTTTGGGAAGAATTCTCAAGAGATACACTAGCAAATATACAATTATAAATACATTTTGCCTCTGGGGGACAAAAAAAAAAGGCTCTAATTATCCAGAAACAATGAATTATTCAACCAGCAATTCTCTGAAGAAATGGCAGTACCACATACCCCTATGTGTTTCCTATGCTTACTTAATGCAAATCTCATCTCTCAAGTTTATTTATTCAAGATTGACACAGATAGGAGAAAATCAACTCCAACACAAAAAGCTTCTAATGTGGCTCATGCTGAGCCCTCTGCCAGCACATCTGCAGATATACTGAAGGTGTTACTCAAAAGACTACATTATCACAAAGTTATATACACTGTGCAAGATACAACACAACTGTTGTGCTATAAATTATCAGCTGATCCGTTTTCTGTATACTGCAGTATTTGATTTCATAGAAAGCTAATTTTAACTGCTGACTGAGAACAGAAATACCTACTATATACAATGTTCTTCTAGCAAATAGAAAAGGTTGAAAGGTTGATAAAACTTTGTTAAAAGGTTAGTTTATGCCTGTAAATCAAGCATCTCAAGATTTTAAAATGCTAGAATGCCAGCAAGCTTAAGGCATATTCTGTCACGGTCTCCTGTATCATCTGAAGTCTTCTGCCAGAAACATTTGTAGATAATGAATTCTCCT